CAGTATGTCTCTAGTATGCTGCTGCCATTTGTGTTAACAAAAATGACCCAGATGTATAATGTCTCTGGAAAGAAAACCCAAGAACATAGTAACAGAGATTGCCTCTGTGGTAGAGAACTGAAAGGCTGAGGGTGGGCCAAGGGTAAGAGGAAGACTTATTTGTTCTGTATGTCCTTTTTTTAAGATTGTATTTTTACCATAGGCATTAATTATTTTTTCAAAACAATTGAGAACTTTGTTATATCTGACAGTTTTGCAAGCTTATGTGTTTGAGACTAAAAATATCAAGGCCTTCACAAATGTTACATCTAACTGATAAACATTCAATAACCATCTAGTTAGCAAGTCTATATTCTTGGCACAGCCCTATGCAATCTCTTGTTTGGATATTCATGAAAATTTGGGGGTTGCAAAGGATACCTATGCTTTCTGCGGAAGAGGTTTACATTCCGTAGATGTAAAATGTGAGAAGAGGAGACACAGTAGTGTGGATCTCTAGTACAATAAGGCCTTCAGGAATACAAACAAGACCCCTGGACATTTTATAGGCCAGGAAAACAGCCTCTGTAACCAAGATATTTCAAATTTCAAGGTTGAAATATGTCCTCATTGCTTAAAAAAAAAAAAAAAAAAATCTGCCAACAGACTCTACCCACCCTTAACTGGCTGATTTTCTCAGTGTTTTTTCTGGCTCTATCAAACAAATATACTCTGCTTTAAGAAAACCAGCTATTCGAATATCCAGATTTATAGGAAATCATTTAAAGGGATGTCTTCTTGCTTTAAGGATTCATTCAAATATCATAGTAATAAACACGTTTAAAATACGATTCAATATAAAAAATTATACACAAATTTCAAAAACACCATCACTGAACATTCAGGAACTCCGTAATTACTTGCTGGATGGATGAACATACCTATTGAAAATCAGTAGAGTGAAATGGATAAGGGCGTGAGTCGGGGTCCAGACATCCCCATGTTTGGATTCCATCCCTGCCGTTCGGTACCTGAGTCTGACCTTCAACAAGTGACTTACCCTCTCAAGGCCTTTTAGTATTTCTTAAAAAATGAAATGAATGAGTAATGCCTCCTTTACGATTAGTCGTATTAAATGAAAGATGTGAGCCAATTTAGGTAAATATACTATCAGTATATTTTATCATGTATTATTTCCTTCACTTAATTTCTGCTTGGCCAAAAGTGAACAAATGAATAGCAAGAACGCAACTGTTTTTGTATTTCCAAAGTCATAATATAGATAAATATAATTATGTATTTAATGTACATATATGTGGCACATAGTAAATGTTTGGTCAGTGCTGGTTATTATTGCAAAAAATAATAAAGAATTCCCAGAGAGTTTCACTCCGTTTTCCCATCCACAGAGACCAATTTTGTGCATAAGATCTCAGGACATTTTATTGCTCTGGTACAGGGAGGGGTAAAAGACTGTGTAAATGAGATTTTTATGGCCTTAAAGTTATGGGGAAACAATTAACAGGTACATAAGTTAATTGTGGCAGAGATTCAGCTTGTTACAATTGCTAACATCTATTTCCTGTGTGATGATTAGTCATTCTGCAGAGTAAATACTGTGACAATATCCTCTCCAAGTTTATTTTATAGCATTACCTGATTCCTACTTTCTTAATTGAAAGTATTAAATGTAAATGTTTTATTTAATTTCCCAAGACTAGAATAGAATTTTGAGTGCTTGGAGTGGAAGGGAAAAATGGTACAAATTGCTTGAAATTTAGAGATGAAATGAAGTGCCCCTTCAGGTGATGAAAAGTGTTTTCTTCTCCAATTTTCTGGCTTTTTTTTTCTTTCCTCCTAGCACTACCTGTTTGTTTAATAAAGTTGAGAAGTCTCGCAAAGGGCCTTATAAACACGTGTTATTAGATTTTAAATCTGATTTGAAAGTGCCTCTCTCCTACTCCGAGTAAAGTGACCTTTTTAAATGGAGGGAAGTGGGTTTAGATGACAGTCATGATAAATGCGGTCATGTTCACTCAATAAAATAAGGCCCAGTGCATTTGAGGATAAATCAGTGAAATGTACAGCCCCACCTGTCTGTCTCCATCATTCATTTCCACTGTCACTTTCACAGTGGCTGATGGATCACAGTTGCTGTAAAATTAGACAGCCTTTAATCTCATTTCATCCTGATTAGCTTCTCTTTCCCCTTTCCCTCTAACTCACTGACTGACACGCTAAAAACTCACACTGGGCTGTATGTGAACCTGGAGTACAAACCTCCCCCACTACCTGCTTGTGAGGGCGAGACACTTGTCCACCTCTGGAGAAATCTGGAAAGAAGCAGGCATGTATCTGTTATTTAAAAGAAAATCAATAAGTGCAGTACCCAAGGCCATTTTAAACAATTGTTTGCTCTTGTTCACTACCCTATTTATTTTGCTTTTCTTTGGGCTTAATCAGAAGTCAAAGAAATTAGGTCTTTTGCAAAATTCAAACATTGATTGAATATAGATTTTTTAAAATAAATTTGGGAGAGTTTTATATTCAGAATAATTTCAACGAGCATTTGAGTATATTTATAGCCTCTCAATCCACAGTAATAATTCAGAAAAGACAGTAATTCAGGAATGAGAATACTGAAATGCTCAGCCAAGAAATATAGCAGACAGGTTTTAAAACAAGGGTAAAAATGTGTAAATAGATGAGAATTCCTTCAAGTAGCCTTTAAATTAGGACTTCAAAGACCTTCTTTTCTCTTATTTTGAAGAGTTCAATAGTTAGCTTAGTGCAATAGTTTCATTTGTTTGCATAAAGCATAACAATAGGGGTAATCAAATGAAAAAGAGGCTTAAAAATAAATCATGTATTGTTTCCTTTACTTAATTTCTGCTTGCCTGAATGAGAGCAAATGAATGGCAAGAACAAAACACAAGTGTCATTTTATTTTCAGAGACTGTACTTTATTATGAAGCTGGACTTCTGGTTTAAAAAATAATAATACCATTTTTCATTATTTATAAGATCTGGGCAAAATGTTGAACTGACTGAAAGTTTAAAAGAAATATTTGAAGAGCTGTGGTCATAGAATAAGTTCGTTGCAGCTGATGGCCTCTATGACTGCTCTGTATCTCATGTGAATTGATGCATACAGCTGACAATTAATGCTGAGTAAGTTTACCACTGGCCAGAGGACGTTACCGTCAACTGGAGTGGCACCAGGTTGTTCACAATATGATAACGGAAGCTTCGTTTTGTTTTTGGTATTTTGGAACCAGCATTATGCTCCAAACAATGATGAACTAATTAAAGGGAAGAAAATCTTTCAAACATATTCCACCTCTGTTGCTCAATGAGCCTCACGTATACTCTGCCACAATGAATTCTGAGTAGTGAAGGCTGCAGGATCTACACAGGTAAAAGTGTTTTTCAAAGAGAGAAACTGACGATTGATGGGCTAAAGGACATTCTTGAGATGACTCTCAAAGTCAATTGACCTGATTCATGGACCGCACAAACCACTGCCCACCCAATTTCTACATTATCCCCCAGATTGGAGGTTTACCTACCAATGCCTTCTGCCTTGTGGGTATAAGTTCAAAAACAATGCATATTTACAGTACAAATAAATAAGTCAGTAGGTAAATAAACAAAACAAAACTCCTAAAATCCCATGGTAAGAAGCTTACATGATCTGATTTGCTCTTTCAGAGGCTGTGTTGTAAGTCTCAAACCTGTGCCTGTTTCTTATTTTTTATTTACATATCTTAGCCAGCATAAATGCTTCCTGAGAAAAATAAAAGATAATAAAAACAAAATGAAATGAGAGCTATATAGCACCCAAAATAAGTCAGGCGTGAGATAGGTCTCCTCACTTTCTCTCTCTCTGCATTGGCAAAGGAGCACAAAGTAAGAGTTGGCCCTGACTCATATTGATTTCCCACTGCACTGGTTTCTTAAGTGCTCTGTTGATCCGTGTCAAGGAATAAGTTCCCTGCCTGAACATGCACATCACCTCCCCATTTGTCCTCACCTAGGTTTAAGGTGCCCATATGATAAGCTGAACAAGGACATCATTTTTCCTACTGGGCCCAAACCACTGTAGGAGATATAACGAATGCTCTATACGTTTACATTTACCATAGGATATTATTGTAGCAGAGACTAACACTGCACAGCACGAAAGGACACAGGAGCATCCGATTCTGGTATTTTGTGTCTCCCTAAAGGAAATGTAAATCAGAACAAATACAGAGAAAGCTGGCATTAGTGGGTTTCTGAATAATGTCCCCTCCTCACATCCACCACATTTGGGCAGAGAGAAGGGAGAGGCAAGGAGAATAGATATTTGTGATGTTCCTGACAGTTTTCATCTTTGTTACAGAAGAGCTCCTAAGCAGATAGATAGAAAATGTGTGATTGTGCTGCTAATGACATTGTACAGGAAATTAAGCGTATACATTTGGAGGAGGCATTAAATCAGCAGGACCTTAATTTAAAAACTTAAAACTGTATGGAAATTCAGCTTGTTCATTGCTGTGGAATAGAAAGCTACCAAGCACCCTGAGTCTGTTTATGGAAAGACTGCCAGCAAACCAAGTTGGGCAGAGCATCTTAATGGCTCCAAGTGTATTCAGGGATACTTCTTCCAAGAAGTAACCCCAGCCCTGACCATTTAGGAGTGTCAGTCGTTCAGATCACCATCCACATCATCAGGCAGGTTAGGAGAACCTAGGAATTGAAAGCAGCATGACAGGTTGTTCTTGACTAATTTCTGGAATAACATTATGTAAAATTAGTCAAAAGGGGTTGGGTTTGAAACCACTGGGAACACACCGCTGAGTCACTGCATAGGGATCCCTGGATTGGTGACTAGTGGCTTGGCTACCTGTGCGTTCTTCTTCCTCTGAGTCAGTCTCACATTTTATGCACTTCAGTGAAACAAATAGCCAGTGAGCCAAGGTAGCAAATCCTGAGATGGAAAATTTCATATGTCTTTTTTTTTTTTTTCTTAATTTCAGTTATGCCATACAACAGTGCCCACCACTGCGTTGTGGAGGTGGAAAACTTCTTGTTCGTGTTGGGTGGAGAGGACCAGTGGAATCCGAATGGTAACTATTGAACAACTTAATTGGAGGTGCTCAGCAACTATGTGTGTAATGAAGGGCATCAGTAGCAGTCCATTTTGTAATTAGTGTGGAAAATACATTTCTGTGCAACGGGGACAAATGAAGTAGTCAAGAAATGGGGCTGACAATTGGAGAGAGGGTCAATCATTGAGCTAACTGGGGACATGTGTAGCAGAGCGATCACTCATCAACTGTCTGGGGATTTGGCTTCGCAGTGATACCCCAGCCCCTCTCCTTATCCATCCCCTGAGGAATGCTACAAGCATGAGCACAAACTCCCTAGAGGAAGGGAGCAAGCTGCAGCTGTTAAGAATCCTCACCATCTTCTCCAACACCTTTCTCCCATTTTATCAATAGAATAATGTGGGTTGCAATACACAAGCATTATGTCCAGTCATGCTGCACATAACTTTAGCTGAAGTTATTTTGCAGCAGGTATTACTCGACATCCATTCCAGTTGCTGTACCTTTTGCAAGCGCTTCTTCCATAGATTATCCACCATCCTCCCCGTTGATGTGATTACGTCATAAACTTATTGCAAAGAGAAATTAAACATTTTAACGCACTTCCCAAATCGAACACAAGAAGAACACTGTGGCTTGCAGAATATGCAAAATTATCAAGATATTTTTGGAAAGCTTGCACATGAAGGAGGAGTTGCAGTTGTAGCCTTCTGTGTAACAGAGATAATTATGACTGAGAAACTATAAAACAGCTTGCAGGTACACATTTTTACTTTAAAACCCCAGAACATCCAGCTGAAATTACATATACTGCATATATTTTATTGTGAATGCTCTCTTTCAGCATCTGCACCAAGGCAAATTATAGGAAATTGTTACAGCTGTTCACTCTAGAAAATCTTCAAGGAAAACAATCCAGGCCACCCTCCAAGAACATTTCTTTTAAGAGAGGGGGACATTCTTTCTCAAGACCTGCAGCTTTGCTGTGCCACATTTTCTAGTGTTGGAAAGAAGACAGTTCCTGGGCTCTGTGAGAAACAGATTTGGAACAGGAGCAAGGATGATACTTCATGTCTCTCTCCTAACTTACTTTTGTAAAGATAGATTCGATATGTTACCAGAAAACCCTGACATGCGCACAATGCATTGTAAACTCCTCATTTACTATTTAACTTATCCTTCTTCAGAAGTGATTCGAACTGCAAGGAGCATTTGTAAGCAAACACACAGTGTGCAGCCACTGGGTTTACCTAAGCGAATAATCTGCAGAACATTCTTTTTGAAGGCCAGGTTAAAACTAAAACATGACAAGAGAAAACAGGAACGTCTTCAGCCTACTGCGCTTCGCAGGTAGAACAGGCCTTTGTTAAAATAGCAGTCTTGGTGCCACAGTTCATTCTCACAAAACACTGTGAATCTGCCTGACTTAAGGTCTTAAGTCAGACCTTAAGCAGCAACACAGAAAACCTGTTCCACAGGCATATGCAAAGAAAATAAACAAACAAACAAACAAACAAACCTGTAGCTACTTGCTGTTCAATTTCTAATCAAAGACACATCTGAGAGAACTGGGTGGAGGGAACAGGGGAGAGTTGAAAGGACATATTCCTTCCTCTAGTCTAGAGAATCAAGATTTTATCTTTGAACTAATTCAGACTCCCATAAAATCATGCTGTTGGATTACACTGATTTTCTCTTTCCCGGCCCTGAGAGGAACAGCAGTTGGGTTTAAAGCCATCAGTGAATATGCTGTGAGAAATGACTAGAAACAGCACACAACTGCATTTACCATAGGGATGGTTCTCACCATTGCCACTCATGGGCTCCCTGTGAAGCCCCAGAGGATAAATTCTTTAGACCAAAGTACTGAGGCATTGTGTGCTTTTGAAAATTATTACTAATGCTAACCATGTGACTATTGTGTCTCTTCTCTTTGCTTTAACCACTAGGATGCACAGAACTAAATTTTAGTATAACTTTAATTACTATATTTTAATTTTACCTTTAGCCTTAATACAGGCCTGGGAGTGCTCTCTCTCTCTCTCTCTGTGTGTGTGTGTGTGTGTGTGTGTGGCTTTAAGATCCCTTTTTAGAATTTTGGAAGCTTCCACATGAAAGGCTGAGTCATTGTGTCCCTGACTCATTTGGCAAGTGAAGTCATTTAGCATAGATTTGGGCAAAGGAGGCTGGACCATGGGCTGGGCTCACCTAAGTAGAGGAGAACTGGTTACGCCTTACGGCAAGCAGGCCAGTCTTATGCACTTCATGTCAGTCATTGGCTAAAGCCTTCCCCCAGGTGGGGCATGAGGGAAGGCAATGAGGTGGCCTGTTCAGCAGCAGGAGCTGCCGTGACCATGAGCAGCCAGCATTCAGCAGCCAGAGAATGGGTGAACCGGTCTGGTAAAGGAATCTGGGCTAAGGACCAAGAGCATCTGCCACAATCCCATGAATCATTTCCATACTCCATCCATCTGGTCAACAATAGTTAACTTCATTAGTATTATTAGTAGTACTTATTGAGTACTCCTTATTGCCCGGAACTTTGCTAAGCACACACCTACATCATTTCACTTAGTCCTCACAAGCATCCTGCAAATCATTCCATGGTAGCTCTAGTTTTACTATGAGAAGACTAAGCCTGAAGAGGTTAAATGACTTGCCAGCAGACATAGCTTACAAGAAGCTGAGCTGATTTCATCCTAGGTCTATCTGATTTCAGAGCCGTCGTCTTTAGCCACTGTAATATACTGTGTTTCACATAACCATATGTATTTGGTTAGATGTGTAACAGTCATGTTTTGCTTTTGATCTTGATCTTGTGAAATTAAATCAACATTGGATCACATGGAAAGTGGCTCCCACTCACTCACAAGGAACTCTTCATCATTCCTCATTTTAAAAACTGTGAAGAGACTCAACCATCTCTAAAATATGAGCGTCTTGTATTATAATACCTCATGCAATTAATACCAAAACATATAAAGGATAGTAATTCTATGATAATATATAGCATGCTTTAACATCACTGCTGGCATGAAGAAAGCTTTTAAATCCGTGGGTTCAGATGTTATGTATGTCAGTCCCAAAGATGAAATCTTCTTAAGTTAAACATTAGTTCTTATGACAATGGTATCTGAGATGTGTGCCCTTGAAGTACAAAATTGCGAATTTCAATACATGCTCATAAAACACAAACATATACTCATTGAAATAAATATAATTATATCTATTGATGATCTATTGATGACCACAACTTGAAGTCAGCAAATATATTAGTTATGGGAAATATAATCAAAATATACACATAAGGTTTTCTACTCAGATATAATTATTAACTCCTATCAACTCTCTTCATGTCATTAGTGATAGGAATGCATGGTCCTCTTCTAATAGATATGCATAGACTCTGTCAGTGCCCCAGCTTATAGAAACCCAGTTTACGTTTGTCACTTCCTGATAACTGGCTCCCAAAACAACTGCTCATAGGGAACTTCTTTTCTTCCCACCTCCTTCTCCTCTACATTGGCTGGAAACCGCCACCCTTTGCCCCATTCATCCCATCAGCCCAGTGCTAAGCAACAATGTTGGTGACAGGGCACCAGCACAAAAAAGAAAAGTGGAGGAAAATGAGAAAAAAATATGAAAAGGATGAGGAAAAAACAGAATGTGTGAAGATAATCCAAAATTTCATAGCATATGGCCGCCACTCTCAGGCTGCTGGTAGCATCTCCATAGTAGCCACAAGGAAGGAGAATAACCCCATTTCATCTCACCTTCCTCACTCTACCACACTCATTTCTCCTGAGGTTCATTATCCTCTCTGCACCTCCTTTGCCACCTCCAGAATGCCTTCTTTCTTTGCGTCTTCCCGGTCCTCCATTCTTGCCCTATTTTTGCGTCTTCTTTGGGGGTTCTGGGGACAGGGTCTCACTCTGTTATCCAGGCTGGAGTGGTGCAATCATAGTTTACTGCAGCCTTGAACTCCCGTCCTTGAGCAATCCTGTCACCTTAGCCTCCTGAGTAGCTGGGACCACAGGCATGAGCCACCACACCCAGACTCTTTTGCATCACTGACCCTGCCTCTGGAAACCATTTTCTCATCTCACATCCATGTTACACCAGTTTCTGCTTAGCCTCTTCTCTGAATCAAGGCCACTACCATTACAACCCAAAGTGAACACTGCTAGTTTCTACCACCACTGCTCAGCACGTGAAGGCACTCTCGGCCCCATTGCCAGGAGGAGGCAGATATCATCTTCCAAATGGAAATTCTAAACCAAATATCTAGAGAAACATTCCTATACATAGTGGGTAGGTTCTACTTTCTTATGAATATCATTAATCTTCACCTGAATTTGGGAATTAACCTTGGAACTTGACTAAGAATGATGATATTTTTTCTACATGGAAATGATTGCAGATTTCACAAAAACTCACTTATTAACCAGCTCTAGACATAATTCTTTCTTGAGTTGGAGCCTCCTTATGTGAAATACAAATCTTCTGAGTCTTCCTTTCCCCCTGGTACTTTATTTCTTCCTGTGTGTCCCCAAATAAAACTCAATTTACCGCTCAACCTAACCATCCAAACTTTCCCACATGATTCCTGTAACTCATGATCTCACATCAGCAAAATATCTATAATCCTTAAATTCTCCTCTGAGTGGTTCCTTTAACTTCTTTTCTAATCAAAACCTAGCACTGTTTTCTTTTGTTTTGTTTTTGTTTTGTTTTGTTTTTATGGAGTCTCACTCTGTTACCCAGGCTGGAGTGCAGTGGTGTGATCTTGGCTCACTGCAACCTCCACCTTCTGGGTTCAAGTGCTTCTCCTGCCTCAGCCTCCAAAGTAGCTGGGATTACAGGAGCCCGCCACCATGCCTGGCTAATTTTTGTATTTTTAGTAGAGACGGGGTTTCACCATGCTGGCCAGGCTGGTCTCGAACTCCTGACTTCAAAGGTTTGCCCACCTCGCCCTCCTAAAGTGCTGGGATCACAGGCATGAGCCACTGCGCCCGGCCAAAACCTGGCTATCTTCTGAGAGTACTGCTTTCCTACCCACTCTTTCTAATGGGAGCCAGTGTATATCTACTTCCCCCACACACGTTATATTATTAGAGGCAAGCAGCTTCTCTGTTTTCTCTTTATTGCCATTCTCAATCCCTTAAAACCCCAAGCACTTTAAAGGATATCTGCAGATTATACCATTTGCTGTCTCTTTATGTGGCAGTAATCCACTGTTTTGCCGGTAATGCCACCTTTACACTGACCATCATCCCCTCGTGACCTTACTTCCCATTTTACCGAGCTTAGCTTCTATGGCCCATCCCTACAAACACTCTCCTCATACACCTGCCTTTTGTTCTCTCTCTCCTTCCTCTGTATTTGCCTGGCAATACTAGTCCTGGTTAAACCTAACCCTCTTCCCTCTCTCCCCTGCCCCTGAGCAACTAAATGTGGATAGAGAAAACCACACAGCCAAACTGGCTACTACTCAGCTCCACTAAATTTCTGTGGTCAATGCACCTTTCTACCCTCCAAGGTAACTATTTCATTCCTCAGTCTTTTCAAATGCCTCGTTCTTCAAAGTCACCATCCTCACTCTCAGTTGATGGCCTTACTTTTTAATTCAATAGAAGCACTCAGAAGATAAACTCTTCATTTTACTACCTTCAATCTATTCACTTATTTCCATTGCAACTTATATATTCTGTCTTCCCCCTATTATTGTTTCTGCCCCAATCCTGAAGTCTATTCCTCATTCCTTCTTGCCTGCTCAGGACTTTCCAGTGTGACTGAACTTTAAAAACAACCAAACAAACCTTCCTTCAAGGCTGCATCCTCCAGTTATAACCTTCTTTCTATTGCAAAAGTCCTAAGAAGCAGTGCCTCTCCTCTTACCTCCACTTTCTTACATCTTAGTCTTTCCTGAGTAGTCTGCACTCAGGCTTTCATCCCCTCCGGGTCACTGAAGCAATGCCTGTCGAGGCCACAAGCAACCTTCACGCTGCCAAATCCCATAGTCACCTCTCAGCTGCTCACCTCCCTTCCTTTGAAACACTATTTGCTTTCAAAATACCACACCTTTCCCCCTATTTCTGAGCATTCTTTTCCTTTGTCGGTTTTGCTGCTTCTATTCCAGGGCTCACTCTGAGGACCCATTGTCTTTCATTTTCCTACACTCTCCATAAATGGTTTCACTCAACCCTATGGTTTTAAATAACCCTGGACTAATGACTCCAAAAGTTGCACCCATAGCCGCATTTAGCCAGTGGCCTACCAGACACTTCCTGTTTGAGATCCTATAGGTCTTTTAAGGTTAATTCCAAAACAGAGCTCGTAACTTCTCTTCCCAACTCCCTAGCTACTCCTCCTTGGTGTTCCCCACCTCAGCAAATTGCAAACCGTCCATTCAATTATTCAGGCTAAAAACCTAGCAGTTATCCCGAATGACTCACTTTTTCTCATACCAATGTTCAAGCCCGCAGGAAATTTTATTTGGCTATGCCTGCACAACAGATTTAAAACTCAACCATTTCTCACCACCTCCACCTTCATTCAAGCCACCACAGCTCTTACCTTGATGATTGCAGTGGTCTCCTGACAGTTCCCCTCTTCCACAGCGGCCCCCTATAGTCTACTCTTTACACAGCAGCCAGCGTGATAGATTAGACTGTTTTTCACTTGCTCAACACTCTCCAGTGACTTGCTATTGTCCTTATAACAAACTATACAATCCTGCATCAGCCCACAAGGCACACTATGTTCTGGCCCTTGACCCCTTTCTGACCTCTGTCTAGTCACCCCAGCATTCTTGCTGTTTTTGAACTTACTGCCAGCCCAGAGACTTAATTCTTTCCCGCCCCTTTGCCTGAGAGGCTCATTCTGTAGATATTTGCATGACTTGCAAAAGACTGTGAGCAGGTGACTCTCCTACTTAAGCTGGCCTCCCTTTATCATTCCTGGCTTCACTTTTTAATAGCATGCATCACTACTTGATATTATACGTTTGTTTATTCATTTATAAGGATACGGACTATGTCTATCTTGCATACCAAAGTATTTCTAGAGTCTAGAACACACAAAACACACAGTAGGTGCTAGGTGCTTGATATATATTTGTATATATCAAGGTAATAATTGTATTGGGTGGACATTTCTGTGTGAGTATATGCACACACACTCACACACCCCTATCTGTTCAGTCCTGTAGTGAAGTTGGGTACCCATCTCTCAATGTTATATGTATAGTTACACATATATAAATAAAGGCAGACTTAGAGTTAAGGCTTCAAGTTCTCTAGATGATTATCATCTCAGGTGCTACACAGAGAATGTAATATATTATTTTGCTTCCATTTCTTGTCTTATATATAAAATAGGATTCATTTTAATACTTTGGAGGCATTACCATGCTTCTCAGGCTCAACAGAGGGGATAAGCTAGTTAAGCAGCTCGGAGGACTCATGTTTCCCATTTCAGCACATACACCTGTGTATATGTCACAGCAACTGTGCTTCCCCCAAATACACACGCAGAACTTACATGGTATGTGTAGAACAAAACTAACTTTCCCAGTCAGGCTCTTTTTGTAGTGGCTGTATTATTGAACAGAGAGAATCCCCCTGATAGAGAGGCCGTGCACATGTGAGTGGAACTGATAATTTACAGACAATAACTTACTGTGTTTAAAGCATTAAAACACCAATAACACCCCAGATATTTTTATCCTAACACTGTAATAAAAGCCAGTTTGGTAAATATAGTTGCTTTGATTCTTGTGGTTGATTTAGTTTTATCCTAACTCATTGCAAAAACAGAAAAAGGAAAGAGAAGGAAAGAGGAAAAACACTTGAGGCGGCACATTTATTTTTCCATTGACTCGTCGCCTGTGCTGTGGTAGGCATTCCCTCTACTTAATTCATCTATTTGTTAAACCTGAGAACAGAGACGTCTTATAAAATACTACTACATGTGCAAATCAGCAAAAGAATCTGTTTTAAATGTCTCAAATACATTTTTACAGGCAAACACAGTACAAATTTTGTCAGCCGTTATGATCCTCGATTTAACAGCTGGATTCAACTTCCACCCATGCAAGAAAGGTAAGTGTTTATTTCTTGCACCTGAAGTGTTTGTGACGACTTTACAGGGGGCATGGGTGCTAGGTGATTTTTCATGAGAAGGAATGCTAAACAGAGTCAATGAAAGACGTATGAGGCAAAATACAAAACTTGGCCTAGCCAATTTACATGACCTTCCTTGTTAATTCAATAGAGAAAAATAAGTCAATTATTTGTCCTAATGTAGGAAGAAAAAAAAATGTATGACTTGTCTTTCTTGATTATATTGACTGGTATTTTGCAAACAGAGCTAAAATTTCTCTGGCTGTATCACTCTTTTTGGTGATAATATATTTAAACCCTAAAATTGAAATATAAAACACTATACTTGCAATGATGTGCATTTTGGTACAGACATTTCAATACTCAATATTAAATTATTTAATATTAAATTCAATATTCAATATTAAAATTCAATATTTAAATATTAGACGTTTAGATAATTAGATATGAAATATTGAAATTTAACATTTCAATAGTAAATTTTGTCTTGTTTGCATTTACCTCCCCAAATGTCTTTGAATCCATACATTCAAGAACAAGTCATTCGTTAGGTTTAAAAAAAAATTAGTCTTCCAACGTGTCATCTCATTTTTTGCATACCAAGTAGTTAGTTATCTCAGCCAAGTCTCCTGGCTACCAAAGGACAAGATGGCTACTATATTTACACATAGTTTGTCTCTCCTAGCTGTTCCTCAGGCATGATACCATGTCTTTATCTGCATATGCAAATTCACAGCCTAGATTTTGAACACTTGGTTCTTTTCAAATAATATCTAGACATCCTCTTGAGCAAATTCTCCAGTGTGATAGACAGTAAGCTGCATCCTATTGCCTCTTCAGCATGCACTTTGGGAGGCCAAGGCGGGTGGATCATGAAGTCGGGAGTTCATGACCAACCTGGCCAACATGGTGAAACCCCGTCTCTACTAAAAAATACCAAAAAAAAAAAAAAAAAAAAAATAGGCAGGCGCGATGGCAGGCGCCTGTAATCCCAGCTACTTGGGAGACTGAGGCAGGAGAATCGCTTAAACTCGGAGGGCGGAGGTTGCAGTGAGCCTAGATCGCGCCACTACACTCCAGCCCGGGCAACAGAGTGAGACTCCATCTCAAAAAAAAAGGAATCATCAGCATTCTTTCTCTTTTCTATTTCTTACATGATCTCTCACCTGAATATCTCTCTTTTTATAACACTCAAGTAGATTACCCTGAGATTAAATTGGATTCTTAATCCTAAATTCCAAGCTAAAAGAAATTTTCATACAATACCATTTATTGAAAAATGTACTTATTGCAGCAAGACAGCATGAATCCATGCTCTAATGAAACTCAAGACCCCTAACTTTCTACTCTATATACAGGTAAATATATTAAAACTCTCTTAGAAGACTAAAGGCTATACAGTGAAAATGATGAGGCATGCATGATACATTAAGGACCACAGACACTTTTAGGAATGTCTAGTTCATAGGTACCTGAGGAAATAATTCTAAGTCAATTAATAGTTTGACCAACTTAATGAATCTGAAGCTTCCTGGTATCTTTCTGCAGTGCACCCTGTTTCTCTCTTTTGGAGGTTATTTCCTGGTTGCTGTTATTACAGCTGCATCACTTTGCCCTTTAATCAAAACTATTCCAAAAAGTTTTACTTAAAACACAACTATCAATACATGTTTGAAATGTCATCATCTCATCACCACGGACCCCTTTGCTGGGGGCTGTACACCATGATAATTAACCTTCATGCCTTCGGCTTGGGAGGCATAACTCACGTTGTGGTCAATTATCCCACTGTAGAGCCCCTAAGGATGGGAAGTATTGCTGCAAAACCTAATTAGTAATTTTTTTGAAAATGTGTATTGTTTACTTGATAGTCTGTAATGACTTCCTCTGAGGCACTATGGCCTATCATGGCAGGGTCCTACTTAGACAATTTTTAGCAGCTCATTGACCTGATAAAAAGACCTGCCACGGTCTGTCGGCGCCCGGCAGCCACCATTGACAGGATGGACTGTTCAACGTTTCTTTCTAAGTCATTATGGTATATCATGTCACGTCCCTAGTAAAAGAAGTTTTTTTTTAGATTTAGAACAATCAACTCGATAGACCAAATAAAGAGCTCCTTACAGCACTGAGTGGGAAAAGGCAGATCTCACAAATGCCCCGTCAATCTTGCAGCTCCATCTCTCCTATGGGCTGGTTGACCCAGGCAACAATCCATAACTTAAAATGAAATTTTTCTGTCGTTGCCAAGTTTCCATTCAAAATAGCAAGTACAATCAGTTACTAGTGTAGATTAATTGGTGGTTTTAAAAAAAAGAGGAAAAAGAATCTAGAAATATATGAGACACTCTTCAGATCAGAAAAGTTGCTTAAAACATTTAGTTAATTTTACATTGTGTAGATCATGAATGAAACCGGAAGTTCCCGCCTACCCCCTTCCCTTATGCTGCTACCAAACTGCTGAAAAATTATTATGCTGAGAAATCACCAAACCAATTGAGAATAATGAAAACACATTGTAAGCCACCTCCAGGGTAACCTACCCTTACAGAGCTGTGCTTGCTACTTTGAATGGAAGCTTGGTAACGATAGAAAAATTTCATTTTAAGTTATAGATTGTTGCCTGGGTCAACCAGCCCACAGGAGAGATGGAGCTGTAAGATTGACGGGGCATTTGTGAGAACTGCCTTTTCCCACTCAGTGCTGACAGATTGAGTCCCAGGATACCCTACCTAGCCAACCCTTCCAAAAGAATAGAGAAAAAGTGCAGAACACCTTCCCAGTTTAGCAGGGAAATGGGCCCATGGCCTTCAGACTCACTCAACCATGAGTCGGCTCATGAATTGCATACCTGCTGGCTATGAATTTACTGTCAGAAATGAATAGATGAAAATATAAATTTAAATGTAGTGCCAATGAATTGTTTTGCTCTCAGATTTAGAATTTAATTCTTCAGTAAGGAGAGGAAAAATTAAAAACTTGGATCAGTAGAAATGTTTTGGTAACTTAATTTTTTTTTCAGTAAAACTTGACGTTTGAAGTATTATTCTTATGGAGATCTTACCCCCTAGCTAATCTAAAAAAAATAGAAGAAAAAGCAGTTTGGGAAGCGTTAAGAACAAAGCCTCTATTTCACAGAGTAAATAAAAGACAAGAATTTCATATGTCAAAAAAATGCGTCAATGTTTAAATATTTTGTTTCTAGTAATATTTTGTGTTACAAGAAACGATGGGAGACAATATTCTTTTTAACATATCCATTGTTTTTAATCCAATGACAAAAGTCAAAACTTCAAGCTGGGTAAGGATATAGTAATCCAATCTCATGCTTTAGGATATAAACTGACAACTCTAAGGGCCAGAAAGAACTTGTAAAGATCTGTAAAATAAGCCAGGTTTAAAGTATATTTGTATGCATTATTATTAATCTTTTTAAAACTTATCTCACAAATACTGAATATTGCTTCTGGCAGTGGGGGCAGGGGAGGCTGAAGGAGGGAGAGATGAACAATTTGAAATAGAAACAGTGTAATCCCACTAAAAAATCTTTAACAATCTTGAACTTACTTTCCTCTCAAAATAAAATAGCCTAAACCTTGTATGTTCTTCATGTGGCGAAGAGGGGCAGGGAGCATTGTCAAGAGAGACCTGATATGGTAAGATTTTAGCCTAGAGCAAATGTTCACAGTTGCTGGCAGACCATTAACAATCAGGTTTCTAAAATGCATTTCAGGAACTCTCACTTTGGGCACGCAAGGGAATAAGTCAAAGATTCAGAATCTTTACTGTTGGAATTTCTACCTAAAAATGCACTTTTCCTCAGGAAGTGAAACCTGCTGATTTTTTCCCATTTAGATCCTAACAGTGACACTGTGTGGATAAAGCTAGGAGTACACACGGAGTGTCACATGAAGAACGCCTTGGCTAGAAAATAGAGCAGGTTCTGACAGGCTGACCAGGTGTCACGGTGAGGAAGGAACCAGATCATAAAAAGTGAAAAAACTGAATTTTAGACAAGAAAATGAGTTCACCAAAGGGAGATCTTCCTCTTATTCTCCAAAATCTAAACTCAGTTAAATAGAAGGTTTTCATACTAATTGGCATCTTTTCTTCTAAACTAATGCTGCACAGAACTCACCATGACCAGCTTACAACCCATATAGTCCCAATTCTTTAAAGATGGCCCATTAGTGAAAAAGAAAATGTACTGCTTCAGAGGCCCCTAGACCTACTATAGAATCACATGGAAGAAGTATACCGAACTACCCTAGTGTCAATGGTGGAAAAAAAAATATGTGTTACTTTAGGACAGATTTTTGTAGACATGTGTCAGTCTTTTCAATGAAACGCTTAAACTTGAAAAGGTAAACGTACTAGTAGAATAACTTTGACCTATCATATTCAGTGAGAAAGTAACTGAAGTCTGGTTGAGGAAATAGAAGGAATCAGTAGTTTATCTGTATGCACTTAATTTTGCAACTGCTTTGAAATCTTATTTTATATTTAGATGAGTTTTTAGTCCCTCATACCAGAAAAATCTCAATTTTTTTAAGATCAGAAATCCCTTTGATGATCACATTTAAAAGCTGCCTCTGGCCAGGTGCGGTGGCTCACGCCTGTAATCCCAGCACTGTGGGAGGCCAAGGCGGGCTGATCACAAGGTCAGGAGATTGAGACCATCCTGGCTAACACGGTGAAACCCCATCTCTACTAAAAATACAAAAAAATTAGCCGGGCGCAGTGGCGGGCGCCTGTAGTTCCAGCTACTCGGGAGGCTGAGGCAGGAGAATGGCGTGAACCCGGGAGGCGGAGCTTGCAGTGAGCCGAGATCATGCCACTGCACTCCAGCCTGGGCTACAAAGCTAGACTCTGTCTCAAAAAAAAAAAAAAGCTTCCTCCAAAAAATGCACATGTGCAAAAACATCTATCTACAGCATTTTATTACAATTTCAGAGCCTCACGAACCCCACAGAAGACATGGACCCAGTTAAGTCTTTACTTCATGAAATCTGACTCATCTTCTCTTTATTTTATTCCTACTTTTCTTCCTACCACTGTTTTCATTATTGTTGTTCTTCATCATCTTTCTGAATTATCCAAGGCACATATTTCCTTCAAATATATCAAGAAAATCTAGAAAAAAACCAAACATAGCTAAAATACTGCTCTAAAATTATCAATGATGTCTATTAGGATAATTTCAGGACTATTAAAAAATGAATACATTACCATCCATAACAAATATCATGCCTGTATGGTAACAAATCATCTAAACGAATATTAAAGAATTTAGTTGTCACTTAAACATTATTCGGAAACGTTTACATGCAAACATCTTGATGGTCAATTTTTAAAAACCTTTTATCTGGGTAATATTAACTGACAGTTCCTGAACATGAACAAAATGCTGGACACTATGACAAGCACTTATATGTATTTGCCAATAGCCCTGTGAGAAAGAGACCATTATCGTCCCCAAGTTCCAGATGAGAACCTGAGGCTGAGAGGGGTTGGGTGACATGTCAAAGGCCACACACCTAATACATCATCTAGCCAGGCAGTCTTACTCAAGAAGCCAAATCGTTAATCACCATGCTACACACTACCTCCTAAATGTTTTGGTACTTCCTAAACACAACCTGGACAATCTCGAAGCAACATGTTTACTTGATAAAAACCTGTAGCACTCCTTGTCTTGCAATCGACATTGCACAAGAATCTTGGCATCTATCTTAATAGAGATCATTAATTCATTAAATATAAACTACATTATCTGAGGGACACGGCACTTAACAGTTTATACTTATTCAATATTGGATCACATGTTTTCCTTGTGAAGTATATTATTCCAGTAGTATCAATGAAAAAAAGAAGCAAACAGTCAAAAGCTTGCTTAAAGTTTCAAACTAGTCATCCTAACTCCAAATTTTTGACTGCTATTTGAACGTTATTCTCCCTGAGCTCCCATATTTTATTACTTGCCAAGTTTTACATTTTCTAACTTTAAAATATCTTTTGCATCACCCCTTTCCATTTCTTCTACTACAGCTCTAATTTAGGTCCTCAGTATCTTCAAATCTCACTCCTAAATGATGGCATATCTTAGGATTGTTCTGTCTACAGTCCTTCCAACACAGCTTGTATCTTTTGCTTTGATGGCATAATGGGATAATATAGTCAATAGCCTCTCTTAAAAAGGGACTTAAAATATCTTATAGCCTTTTAAGAATCAATACAAAAAGCTACTTAGATGAAATTCCTGTAACTGGTTATATAAGTGCAAAATTTGAACGTTATATGAAGTTCACAAAAGTTATTCTATTTGTAGTAGTACTAAGGGTAAAAAGAAAAAGTGATAATTGAAGAAAAATTTTGATGATGTAGTTCTCTTATAAATTGGGAACAATGACCCTTGAAGGACCATAAAGAAAGTGAATGTCAAGATAATTTATTATTGTTACATTATCTACTTCATTTTTCACTTTGTCTTACAGAGCTACGATATCCTCACAAGGTACCGAATATCCCAAATATTAATGAACACTTAACAGTGTATAAAAAGCAAGATAAAAAGGGCTGAAACAAAGAGTTGGTGAATTTCTCCTCTACTATTACTTTAATATCAAGAATATTAACCAGAAAGGGCAATACATATGATTACTGTAGAAGGTCTCAGACTTACAAGGTATATGTGTAATTTTTAAAGATTTGCAACCCTTTCTGAAGCAGAATGCACCCCTTTTCCTGACTACCTGGGTTGGTGCTTACCTTATTTCAAAAGGTAACATTTCACAGCTCCTCTTGTGATTTACTGTGGGTTGTTTTCATTGTAGAAGAGCCAGTTTCTACGCATGTCGGTTGGACAAACATTTATACGTTATTGGCGGAAGGAATGAAACCGGCTACTTGTCCAGTGTGGAGTGCTATAACCTAGAAACAAATGAATGGCGCTATGTGTCCTCTTTGCCACAGCCTCTGGCGGCTCATGCGGGAGCAGTGCACAATGGGAAAATATACATTTCAGGCAAGTAATTCCTCCACTTTTTGTTACAAAGTTCAGTTCCAAAGGACTCTCTTGACTTGTATGCCTGTGTTTATTTCACAGGGGGTGTACACAATGGAGAATATGTCCCATGGCTATATTGCTATGACCCAGTAATGGATGTCTGGGCTCGAAAACAAGATATGAACACAAAACGCGCAATTCACACTTTGGCTGTAATGAATGATCGCTTGTATGCAATTGGAGGAAATCATTTGAAAGGTCTTTTTTTGTTGTTGTTTTGTTTTTTTAGTCACAATAACATTTGCATCTCATATTTCTTGCTAAGGGGGTTTCTCCTTAGATAATGATAGTTAATCAAGTAAAAAACATGTTGATCTAATAAAATCTACTCTGTGTAAATTGGCAGTACCCTTGAGCAAGCATTTATTTTGGCTTTTCTGCAGATAGGATTATTTTTTAGTTACCATACACATAAAAGAAATGAATAATGATGTCTACAGAAAATAAGAAACAGGAGCATTAATAACTGAAGAGCACAAACAATTTGTTGTAACAATGAATTCACTGAAATAAATTATTTCTTATCACCAAAGTGGTAGTAATAAATTTTTTCCAGAAAAATTTTTTTTGCAGTAATCATAAAGAACTTTAGTCATAAGCGCACAAAGCTAACGTGATTTTTTAAAAGGTAATATTTATCAGATTTTTATGTCTAAATTTAGAATTTTTAAAGAATTGAATAGCAAACCACTTATGATTATCAAATTCTGTTGCTTTTTTCAATAAAAATCTTAAGGCATAGCATTTTCAGAGATATGTTTTGGCACCTTTCCTGCCCCAGATATGTATGTGACTGCAACTTCTTGTAGTTTATGTGTACATATATAACATTATGTGCAAGCATGTAACACTGAATGTGACAGGAAAATAGGGAGACCGATGATATCGAGAACATTATTGAACTTCTTTGGGCCTCCGTTTCCTCATCTGAAGATGAAGAAACTGCTCTATGATCTCTAAAATCTCCTTCAGCTCTGTTAGTCTATGATCCCTGAAATTGAGCTAAATGGGAAACAGGCTATCTAAGTATGGTAGATAACACATATATGTGCATTTATTTTTTAATAGTATATACATCTTTTTAGATGGTTTAGACCTAGATGTTTTTTCTATGTTCCTAACACATGTTTACCTGTAAATGTAATAAAGTGTGAACAGGTGTAATTTTTACGTAGATACTTCCAAGTTCATGTTCATTCAGTCAAGTTCATGTTCAGAAATGCCAACAGCCTAGTGCATGTCTGCTGCTCAGCTTAAGTGCTCTCTCCACTGGGAAAAGATTTTATTTACTACTGTGACTCTTCCCTTTTTATTCTTTATCTCTTTCAATGGTGCCCTTTCATTTCAAGTCACACACCATTCCTTTATGTCGACATGTTTTATATTAACTTTGTATCCTTTTATGTTAAAATGTGATTTCTTTTCATTTCTTCTGCACAAGATATTGTCTATATGCTCTAGGATCTTCTCACATTTAAGGTTGGGTTTGGACAGAAAGACTTAGGTAATGACAATCTAAATGAGAAATAGTGCACACACATCAAAACTGGGTTAGCTCAAGGAGGCATCGTGGTGAGGAGAGGATATAGACATTGCATCTAAGCCTGGGTTTGATTCTAGTTATGCACTTTCTAGCTGTGTGGTCTCACTCAAGACGCTTAACCTCATGTCTGTAAAGGAGAGATAATTAATCTTGTCTTTGTGGTTTCTATGAGGATTACAGTCCCCATGTATAACACTGGTACAGAGAAGGCATATATATCTTCAAATGATGCCTCTAAGGTCAGAACTTGGAATTTGCCCAAGTGCCCATTCTAAGTGTATATGTTTCAAAAATCATCATCAATAATATTAATGGTAAAGGAAAGGAATATACTCTGGAGTTGCAGTGAGCACATTGTTCTGTTGTTTCACCATCTATGTGATTTATTTTCTGTAGGAAGTTAGTGACCAAAATAACCTGTCTACCTCTTCAAGAACAAACATTTCTCTACTTTCTGATTCATCTTCTCAATTATTTTAAAGAATCCAGTATGTTGGTTACTTTAAAATACACACTGTGATTGTCAGCTAGCCAATATCCATAGCCTGCATTTAACTACAGGAAAAAATAAAATAAATAAAAACATTAAGGGTTTGATCTGCTTGGTGAGTATGAAGCTCCCACTAGGTATTTCTCACCCTTTAAATTAAAGGCAGGGCTCCCGTAGAGTCCAGGAACTTAAGTTGTTCTCAGTGACCTAGGTACTGCCCCAGACACTGGGAACCCTATCAGAAGCGGTAGGAGAAGCTCTTCAGTGAAAGGTACTCAGCCTCCTACTCTAAACCTTGATTCTTGGTAAATATTAGAAACCATTTACATCATCGGAGTTGTTTATAAACATAGTCCAATTGTGAAAAAGGTAAAAGATGCTGAACAACATATTTTTAATGTATCAAAACATTCTGAGAGAGTTAAATATTCATTTGAGAAAAAGCAATACAATTTAGTATGCAAGAGTCTGAGTTCTGAAGCCTCTCCCGGATTCAAATCTCAACCTGTCTACTTACTGACTTGTGACTTAACTCAAGTAATTGACTTTCTCTGTCCCCAAGTTCCCTTATCTATAAAATGAAAGTAAGGACAGGGACTATCTCATAGAATGATGGAAGGGATTAAATGAGTTCATTTAAATAAAGTCTTTAGAAAAGAAAACTAGCATATTGTTAAGTGCCCTGTAAAATGCTTGCTTAAACTATTATTTTAAACCTTTTTAAATAAGGTTTTAATAAACCATTTTAATAAGATCTATCCACATATAATCAACCTTTACTAATGACATCTGCTCAGGTATTCTTGCTTTGAAGTAATCTAAAACAACTAGAGTTTCTTTGGGGTTTTTTAGGTCTTTCTGACATTTCTCCCAATCTCAGTGAATTTATGCTTTTGCATCTTCAAAACCATAATTATCTATTTTGGCTTGAGACCTGTTTTTAAAAGAAGGCCTAGCATTGAATTGGGACCCTGAGCATTTATTATTTTGTTGTTCCACTTTGTTCTGTCACTTAGGTTTCTCCCACCTTGATGTAATGCTTGTGGAATGCTATGACCCGAAAGGTGACCAGTGGAATATACTCCAAACTCCCATTTTGGAGGGTCGAAGCGGCCCTGGCTGTGCAGTGCTTGATGACAGCATTTACCTTGTGGGAGGCTACAGCTGGAGTATGGTATGTGTCCACATTTACTGCATGTTCCTTTATTTTGTTTGTGCTTACTTTTTCTGTATCCTTCCAAATGTGTTATCTTCCACACATGTACCTTTTAAAAGTATCATACTTACACGCAAGCAGTCAGTTGCTTTAGGTAGTAAAACAGGATCAGCCTGGTGGCTGCTGAACTGGCTTGCTGGCTGATCAACAGCATGATAAGGTGCGGCAGGTCTCTTTCTCTCCTATCTCTATGATCTTGTGATTCTGGCTTCCCAACTAAAAGTCAAACTGAGGTGATTTTACAAATGGTCTGCAGTTCATTAAGAGAGTCTGAAAGGTTTCTGACTAGTAAGGCATGAAAAATGGAAATTCATTCTCCAATATTCATGAAGTCTATTTAGGATATATGATTTGCCATTGATTTTTCCCCTTATTTTCCCTCTTTATCATGAAATTTTCTAAACATACACAAAAATCGAGATTAGAATGGGCCCTCATTAACCCATCATTCAGCTTCAACATCCATCAACATTTTGCCACACTTCATTTATCCCCTCTTTTAAAATCTTTAGCTCAGGCAATATGAAGTAGATCCCAGATGTCATATCATTTCACCCTAAATGCTTCAGTATTTACCTTTTAAAAATTGTTAACTTACATAAATACATTCTCCAAAAAATTAACAATAATTCATTTATAACCATTTTATATTCAGATATTTGCCAATGACTTAAAAAAAAGATGTATTTTTCAAATTGATATATCCAAATCAGTATCCAACAAATCTTTCTTATATTTCATCATTATTTCTCTTATATCTCTTGCAATCTAGAACATTACCCAGCCTCTTTTTGTTTCATGCCATTGACTTTTTGACAAAAGAGGGTCAGTTATACAGAATACCCTACATTCTGAAATTGGTTAATGACTTCCTTGTGGAGTCATTTGAAATAGTCCTCCGTCTGCATATTTTCTAGAGACTGGAAGTTAGAGATAAGGGCATAATTAAATTCAGCTTTTTTCTTTTTCCTTTTTTTATTTCCTTTGCTAACGTCTTTCTTCTTTTTTAGCAAGAATACCTGAGAAGGTGGCTTTGTAGTTCAAATTACAGTACATCAGGAGACACATCGGGTCTAGCAGATTACATATTCACTTTTAAAATGATGAACATTTGTATATTTTCCTAATTACCTGTGTTCGTTTTATAAGATTAATTTGGTGGTTTTAATAATATTATTTAGTTTTATTTCTTTTGCCTCTAACAAGATTGTGACATAATGTTTTGAGGAGCTTTAAAACATTATTAGTTATATGTAGGCAAATATGTATTGACATATATAACTAGATATTCATATATGCACTTGTTTGCTTGTACAAATTGTTAGCTGCAAGAATATATACATTTGGAAGTAGACATTGGGGCATTTTCAGAAAAATAATTATTAGGTTGGTTGGCTTTTCTGTTTGTTTCCTATGATAAACACAAAGCTGCCTTGGTTTCGGGAGGGAAATGTTACACAAGCACTAGCCTCTAAAGTTGACAAAGAAAACAAGATTAAGGACATTTTATTTCTCATGTGACCTCTTGAAAATAAATAAATCAATATATGAGAAAGTTGACAAACTTTCATGTCCAGTTTACTTTAAACTGGTTTTCAATCCTAGCTCTCATTCTTCACAGTAGCAGAATAAAAATGGAAAAGTGAGACAACAATCTGAAATATCATTGTCTTAACTATTTGAATGTTTAAAGTAAATTTGTTCTTTTTTTTTAAACTTAAACCAGCTGGATAACTTCTATTTTTAGTATATTATTTTTATTTATTTATTTATCTATCTATTTATTTATTTAAGCCAGGATCTTACTCTGTTGCCTAGGCTGGAGTACAGTGGCATGATCAGAGCTCACTGTAACCACAATCCTCCTGTCCTAGCCTCCCAAGCAGCTGGGACTACAGATGTGTACTATCAGGCCCAATTTGTTTTTATCTTTTTTGGTGTGTATGTAGAGATGAGGTCTTGCTATGTTGCCCAGACTGGTCTCAAATCCCTGGGCTCAAGTGATCCTCTTGCCCTCCCTACCAAAGCTCTGTAATTACAGGCATGAGCCATTGGGCCCAGCCAATTTAGGATTGTTGAGCATCCAGGATCCTCTAGGTATTTATTTGACTTTTATTGTTAGTCACACACACAAAATTTTGTTTTTAATTTTATCAATCTTAACTTTTACCTTGGAATAGAACAGTTTAAAATCCATTGCTTTCATTTGGAATTATTTAGCAAGAATGGAGAACAGATATTTTCTTTTCAATATATTAATAAATGTGATCAGTAACATTGCCGCTGCACTTCTCTGACTTCCTTCTCTAAATTCTCCCTCCTCTGTCATTACAGGGGGCCTACAAGTCATCTACAATATGCTATTGTCCAGAGAAAGGAACCTGGACAGAACTCGAAGGTGATGTAGCAGAACCGTTGGCAGGCCCTGCCTGTGTGACAGTTATTCTGCCCTCTTGTGTGCCATACAATAAATAACACCAGGAAACTCTGGAATGAACGGTATCACATTCTAGGAAGCAATGGCACGCGACATCACTATTATAATAGGAACAATGCATTCTAATGGTACAACTGCCAAAACCCACCCCTGGTTTCTGATGATTTATAAGTAACTACAAAAGGAAGACACCTGTTCTTGAACATATACTGTGTCTGTAACCCAGATCGTACCAAACTTCCTGTGGTGACAGACTCTTCCATTTCAGACTGGTTTTAACTTATCCCAGCTTTACAAAAACTCTTCATGTGAATCTTAACTTTCAAAAGGAGAAAGATAAGATACAGAAGACTGGCCCCAGAGAGACCTGAGATCAGTATTGTGCATTGTAGTCTACCTGCATGGGATCTATGTTGACATTTCGGGGATATTGTGTTCAAGAATGATTCCAAATTTGAGCCAGCAAAATATACTGCATTACAGAAATTGCCACTTGATTCTGTATTCTTAACCTTTGGCTACTTCACAGACTCCATTGGCAACACTGTTATTGAAAATCATATAAGATCAAAGAGAGGCATTTTCGTTTCTATACAACTTCATTTCATACACCTTCTGCCCTTATAGCACCTCATGGGATCAGAAAAGAGAAACATGTTGGCTCTTGTAATAAATGCTTTCTACCCTAGGTTCTAAGCTAGACAATGTCATCATTTCTGTATCCTCAATTTTATCTGAAAGATTAAAACAAAACACATTATGTCACTATTCAGTTCATGGAGGTTGTGCTTTTTCCTAACATGTTATTTACTTCAAAAGACAGGATTGACAAATTCAGTCACGTACTATTTTAGAGATTCTGTTATATGATATGTCTGACCCAAATTTAATCCATAATAAAAAAAATGAGAGATTGTTTTCAGGAATTCAGGGATGAAAAGAAAGAATAATTTCTGTTAAGTACAATTCCAGTTGTCTTTCTGTTTCTAAAACACAGAACTTACAAGAGCCACAGGAGCCAATTATAGCACCTGACAAAATACTTCTCCTCTTCCTCACCTTTGGGTGGCTCTAGACACTTGACTTACGATCGTTATTCCCCCAATTCATCATATTTTGTTTGTTATCACCAGAGATGCTTGAACTCAGTTAAGCGAGCAATTGCTAGTTGTCTTGAGGAGCATGAGGAATTCAGGAGCAGAAGGTCAGGATAGCATGAGATAGTCTCAGTGTGGCCAACCAAAAGGACAAAACTGACAGGAATGCACATTCGATTTTCACGCCCTTCAGAGCTTGAACAACAACTTTAGGAGTAAATAAAAGCCTAAAATATTTTTTAACCATCCAGAGATGGCGTTGAATCCTTCAACAAATGTGTCATTCAAAACAATAATTAGGGAAATCCCACAGATGAAAAATGCCTTGGTGATAAGCTTTCATGGCAGAGCACGTCAAGATAAATGGGTATACTGGAATCCAATGCCGTTTCTACAGTAAAGTGCAATCTTCATTGTTTTTGTATTTATTTGTATGTTCAGATCCAAAGGATCCGTTGTAAAAATATATATATAAATATATGTATATCCAGTGCAATCAACTTTCATTTCTTTTTCCTTGAAAACATATGAGTATATAGAAAGAAAAGTTACAGTACTCTGTGGGAAAATCTCAGCTGACATCATGAATAGAACGAGGTCTGTTTCAGAACCTTTTGTTGTCAACTGTCACTGTTTCTTCCAAAAGTCACAGTTTATACAAGAACATTTGCTTTCCTTAGACTTGTTCTGAATTTTATTTTTTATTTCTCGCCAAAATAAATAAAAGCATTTATGAGAACTATAAGTAAAGCTTTCTGTATTTCAGAAAGACATCAGTTACTAGAAAGTGAAAAGTGAATAAATAAGTCACAGAGAATGTAAATTTTGTACAGTATTAGAATGTGTAAATGAAGCTTGCTTGGAAGGGGAAAACTTTAAATAAAAACTTTATGTACTAATTCAACTGTTTCTCATATCCTACTTACATAGCATATGTATAAATCTCTACATTAAACTGTTTGAAGGTTTGTGATATGTAAATGCCTAAATATTTTCGTTCTGAAGCTATGATTTACAAGTGTATTTGGCTTTCTCACAATATGTAAATGTATACAGTATGGACAGTGCTAAAATTATGGAATACTTCTGGAAAAGGTTGTCAGTTAAAAATCATATGGAATCTGATGTTTTCACTACAAGGGTGTTACAATAAGACATAACTTACCTGAAATCAAATAACTAAATATTTACACACATTATTAGAAGTACCATATGTGTTAACAAATACTTTTTAAAGGATAATGAATCACACATTTTATTAAATCAATGATCAAATACATAGTATTTAATTTTATTCTCTTTTAAAGATCTGATGAAGTGGTTGTACAGGGCAATTAAAGGGGCTATGGGAGACATAGGGGGAGCTAAGGCTTGTAGGTGAGGGTAGTAACTGGGCAACCTTCCAGGCAAAGAGCTATGTAAGATCAGGAGCTAGGCTCGGAAGCCTGTAAACTGGGGGGAATTTACTTTAATGCTTCCCAGACAAATCTATCATTAGTGATGATTAAACTCAGAATTAAAGGATCTTTTGATCCTCCCTAGTATTCCACGAGAAAGAGTAATGGAGTTTCTTTCTCCTTCCATTGGATCTTCTCCTCCACATACTAGAGTAGCACACTGAAAGAAGACCCGTCTCCTGAGCCAAAGGCTGGTTGCTGAAGTGCTTCTCCAAATCCCCTGAAATACCCAAGGCTCCGGTGCTGACTAAATATCATGAGATGTTAAGAAGACATGCTTATCTTTTCCCTAATCTCAAGAAACCACCTACTTGGTGTCCCTCGCTAGACGGTACTTTCATGTTTTATATTTAGTTAGTTAATACTTGAAGGAATTTTGGGTAAAGTGGAAATATACTGAGGGGGCAAAAAAAGATATTTTTTCTAAGAATACGTCTTAAAACTGGCTAAAACTACAGACCAGATTTTTTAAATTAATTAAGCTGTGTCTGTGAGCTTGAAATTAGTGTCTGCATTTGTTCTATCCTAGTCAGTCAGACTCATATTTTCCCAGCTCTTTGACACTTATATCACTTAACAAACTATATCATTATCAACATGGTAAGTATCAAGTATTCACTGAATATATCCCAAAGGGCATCATTATAAATGCCAGATTTCTGATTAAACTTAATTCTTCAGGTCAAAAGAGTTTTAAAAAACAAATAAATAAGCTAAAATAGGATTAGTAAAGCACACCGAAGCCAACTAATACACACTGATGAGAACCTTGATAGACTGAGTTCTCACAGAAAGGACTGATCATGACTGATCATGCCTGACTTTCTAGAAGCACCTAAACTTGAGGATATGAAAACTTCGGTGGGAAATATTATGCCAATAAGAAGAAGCAGAAGGGTCTATGGAGGAATAAAATATTCAAATGCATAGTATATTTGCTTTGTGTAGCTGTAGCTATATAGTGCTGCTCTGAATTGTAGAATAAATATACACGAAATATAGGGTGGGGTGTCTTTATGGAGGTTATCTTAGTCCATTCTGTGCTGGTAGAACAGAATACCTGAAAGTGGGTAACTTATAATGAGCATAATTTACTGGTTCACAATTCTGAAGGCTGAAAAGTCCAATACCAAGTTTCGGCCATCTGTCCAGGGCCTTCTTACTGTGTCATCCCATGGTGGAAACCAAGAAAGTGAGAGACCCAAGAGAGGCCCAATGTGCCCTTTTATAACAGCACCAATTCCACCCACGGAGGTGAGACCCTGTGACCTAAACACCTCTGAAAGACCTCACCTCTTAACATTGTTACAATGGCAATTAAATTTGAATATGAGTTTTGGAGGGGACAAACATTCAGGCCATAGCAAAGGTATTCTATATTTGTTGACTCCATAGGCTTGGTGCAATAACAAAAAGTGCATTTCTAGATATGCATAGTAAAAATGTGCTTCAAGAACCCAACACAAAGTTTAGAATAAGAAAAATTTTCTGTAACTTGAAGCTTGAGTGGCCTATTCTATTCTGTTCATTCTATTCTATTCTAGGTTGTTGCTTAACTTATATTAAGGACCCAGTAAATGTTAATTCTCAACATTAGCAGCAGTAATATTATTTTAGTGTATTTTAGTTCACTAATGATGCTAAAGACAGGACAATGAAGTAAATTAATGTATGGGACTGTCTATTCCTCAAGCACAGAAGAATTATATCACTTCAGATAGAGTAATAAAGTGATCCTTGATTGTAATCTCCCTTTCCCTTCTTTACTTATTAAGCTGACTCTTATTCTGTGGCCTTCCAAATCCCTTACATACAACACAATGATCTGTAGGGGTAAGCCGGGGAAAGGTGAACATCTGGTTGCAGGGAGATAGCAGGCTCTTTGCTTCCAATCACGTTGCTTAAATCTGGAACATTTGACCCATCAGTCGCCTCAGGTGCACATGTTCACCATAATACCAGTCCCACAAAACCTGCCACCAGCACCCAAGCATACCATCGAAACCTGAGAATCACCCCACCTCATCTGCCACCACTGACATCTGTGCACTCTTCTTGGAGGCCGGAGAACAGGCCCACCCAGCCTGCTACCACCACCACCACCACCCACACATGTCACCAGGGGCCTGGAGACTGCCTCACCCAGCCATAGCAGCCACCACTGACACCAGCTCATGCCATCTGAAAGCCTGAGGTTATCTTACTACTGATACTGCCATCATGTATGCCATACCCACTGCCCAGCAACCTGAGGCCTGCCCAGCCACCCAGCCCATTGCTGTCACTGCCATCGTGTAGCCTGGAGGCCCAAGAATTAGTGGGTCTTTCTAGACCCACTAATACCAGTGCCCATGTATGCCACCAGGGGGACCCAAGGACAGGTATACTTAGCTCACCACTGCCACTACAGGTGCCCAAGGACTGGCCCACCTGGCCTCCCCATCCTAAGCAACATCTCACCACAACCTCCACTAACAACTTCAGCCTAAGTCACTGAGGAAATCACAGACACCATTGACACTACTTACAGCCAAAGAAATCATAAACATAAACATACTGCACATACCCAGAATCAAAACTAAAGTACCCTACCCAACTAATACCATACATACATCTACAGGAAAAAGTCTTTGTTTATGAAAGGCAATCCAAAACCTGGAAGAAACAACTGTTATACCAGATGTGCAAATATCAACATAAAGACACAAGAAACATTAAAAAAAAAAAAAAAAAAAAAGGAAATACGACACCTCCAAAGGAACACAATTCTCCAGAAATAGATTCCAATGAAAAATAAATGTATGAAATGCCTGAGAAAGAATTCAAAATAATGATATTAAACTAGCTCAGTGAGATACAAAAGAACACAGATAAACAATATAAAGAAATCAGAAAAACAATTCAGGATATGAATGAGAAATTCACCAAAGAGGTACATGTCATAAAAAATTAACCAAATAGAAATTCTAAAGCTGAAGAATTCAATGTATTGAAATAAAATATACAACTGAGAGCTTCAACAATAGGCTAGATCAAACAGAAGAAAGAATTTCAGAACTTGAAGACAGGTCTTTTGAAATAACCCAAGTAGACCAAAAAAAGAAAAAGCAATTAAAAAAAAAAGAATGAAAGAGGCCTATGTTACATATCAGACATCATAAAGTGACCAAATGTTCAAATTTTGGGTGTTCCAGAAAGTAAAGAGAGTGGCAAAGGCATAGATAATCTATCTAAAGAAATAATAGACTTCTTTTAAATTTATTTTTTAAATTGTTTAAAAATCTATTTAGAAACAGATTTTTATAAATATAAATCTTTATCTTTATATATATTTATGAATATATAAAATATTTATAATATATAATTATAAATCTATACAAATTTATATAAATATCTTTACAAAAATATTAATACATGTCTATAAAAGTTTATATTGATAAAAATAGATTTTTATAAATAAAATTCATAAAGAAATAATAGATTTCTTTTTTTTTTTTCCAAGGCAGAGTCTTGCTGTGTTGCCCAGGCTGGAGTGCAATTGCCCAATCTCAGTTCACTGTAACCTCTGCCTCCTAAGTTCAAGTGATTCTCATGCTTCAGCCTCCTGGGTAGCTGGGATTACAGGCATGTGCCACTACACCCAGCTAATTTTTGTATTTTTAGTAGGGATGGGGTTTCACCATATTGGTCAGGCTGGTCTCGAACTTTTGTCCTCAAGTGATATCCCTGCCTTGGCCTCCAAAAGTGCTGAGATTACAGGCATGAACAACCATGCCTGGTTGAGAAACAATAGATTTCTTTAAAATTTATTTTAAAGACTTCCTGAACAAAAGATTTAGATAAAAGAAGCTCAAAAATCCCCAGGTACCCAAAAATCCCCAAAAAGGTCTTCTCCAAGGCAGATTATAGTCAAACTGTCAAAAGTCAAAGAGAAAGAGAGAATTCTAAAAACAGCAAGAGAAAAGCATCCTAGCCCCATATAAGAGAACTCCCATCAGACTAATAGTGGGTTTCTCAGGACAAATCTTACAGACCAGGAGAGAAAGGGATGATATATTCAACGTGCTGAAAGAAAAAACTGCCAACTAAGAGTACTATACCTAGCAAAGTTATCCTTTAAAAAAAATGAAGAAATAATCTTCCCCAGACAAGCAAAAACTGAGGGAATTCATTACCACTAGACTGGAGCTATAAGAAATGCTTAAGGGAGTGCTATATCTAGAAGCATAAGGATGATATCTACCATCATGAAATCTGGAACATTAAGAACTGACTGAACTAAATTAAGAAAAAGAAATAAAAAGAAGGGGATTCAGTTAATAATTCAAAGTTGTTATATTAATAGTATCTTCTACAACAACATAAAATGTCTATTAACTTAATGCTTATTATGAATCAGGTCCTAGGCTGAACATTTTTTACATTTTCCCATTTGCTACTTTGAACAACTTTCTAAGATAAGCATTATTGAAGGTAAGGACACTTAAGCTCAGAAAAGGTAAACTAAATAGTTAATAGATAATGTTAAACAGCTGAGAGTGGAGCTATAATTAGTACCAAGGCTTTATTCTAACGCCATTTTCTAGCCATCATACTTGGCTGCCTACAAAAAAAAAACTTAAATCAATTATTTTAAGTCATGTGAATTTCCTGGTGGCTGCCTTTTTCACACATAAATAGGATGTGCTAGAGAAAAAAGTGATCAATTATGATGCATTATGACAAATGCAACATATTTTTGGTGTGAGTGAACAACTAGGAGGCACAATACGGACAGGAGAAGAAACTTGCTCTGTGATTTTGGAGGGTCATTTAGTTTTTC